CAAGCCAGGCCAATCAGAAAAGGGAAGCTGGTTCAGGGATGGGCACCCAGTCCAGTATGGACCAATGACAGCCTTCCTTGGGATTTTTGCTGTCACTATTAAGAAGCTTCCTATGGGGGGACTTCCCCAGCAGTCCAATGATTAAGACTTCACCTTCCAATGCAGGGGATGCAGGTTTGATCCCTGGTCGGGGAGCTAAGATCCCACAAGCCTTGCGGCCAAAGACCAAAACATAAAAAACATAAAACAGAAGCAATATTGTAACAAATTCAATAAAGACTTTAAAAATGGTCCACATCAAAAAAAATTAAAAGGGCTTCCTTGGTGGCGCCGTGGTTAAGAGTCCACCTGCCGATGTAGGGGACGTGGGTTCGTGCCCCGGTCTGGGAAGATCCCACATGCCGTGGAGTGGCTGGGCCTGTGAGCCATGGCCGCTGAGCCTGCGCGTCCGGAGCCTGTGCTCCGTAACGGGAGAGGCCACACAGTGAGACGCCCACGTACCGCAAAAAAAAATAAATTAAAAAAATTAAAAAAAAGAAGCTTCTTATGGGGCTTGCTAAGCTGGGGGGAGGGGAGCTGGGAGCCATCTCTGTTCCCATGAAGGGAAAGTGGCTGAAGCCAACACGGGGTGGGGTGGGGAGAAGGCCAGCAGAGAGACCCAGACCCCTAATAACATCAGTTGAGTGCTTGGATCCAGCCATGCCTCCAGGTAGCATAACTCTGGACTTTTCGGTTATGTGAAACAATCAATTCCTATTTTACTTAACCCAGTTTCAGTTGGGCTTCTGTCACCAAAACTTCTCAAAACCCATCCCTTCCAGGGTGCACCTGTTCCTGCCTACCTCTGGTGGTTTTCTAACACTGAGTTTTCTTTCTGGGAATTTACTTGTCCTGCATCCCATACTCTCATAGCACCTCCTACCTTTATAGCCAAAGTACCTGCCAGATCATATGACAAGGGCCTAGACTGTCCTTTTCACCTCAGGAGCCCCAAGTGCCAGCCCTGCCTCCGCTAAAACTGTTCTGTGAAAAGTGGATACACCCCCACACCTCTCAAAGGTTATCCCCGCCTGTAGGGTGGATGATCCCTGGGGCTGGGAGGAGCACCCACCTGTCGATGGGGTGGATGATGATGGGGATGGCCAGTAGTCCCAGTGCGGTGGTGGTCCACTTGCGGACAGCCAGAGGCCAGCGGGTGGCAGTGTCCAGGATATAGAGAGAGGCAGCACACACACGGTTGATAGTGAAGCCTGGGATGGCCACAGAGGCCAGAGCCTGCCACACGAAGGTGTCCACCATGGCCACAGTCACCCTGGTGCTGCGGCCTGCCTCAGGGCTCGGCACCTAGCAGGCACAATAGACATTTAATCCAGCAGAGGCAGAGGCGGGAAACCCTGTGGACAGGGGGCATGAGGCTGGACCAGGGAGAGGGAAGTGAAGGGGGTTGGGGACAGAGCCACGCTAGTGTTGGGTTCTGGACTCCACCAATTCAGGGCTGAGGGTGGACTCACTCATATCCAGGACTAGGATATAGACTACGTCACCTGCACTGGGGACAGAGTGCACTATTCTACAAACAGTACTGGGGTGTGGAGTCCACCAGGCCAGGTTGTGGGGACCGGACTGTCCCAGAAGGCCTTAACCACATGCAAGGCTGTGGACTGACCACAAGGGGAGTGGACGGGGGTGGGGGGTTGAGGGGCAGGTTAACACTCACGTCTCTCGCTTTCTTGCCCTTGTCAATGGCATCAGCCAGCACGTAGGAGCTGGACACACCGTAGCTCATCCACACGACAGATGCAGGCACCAGGGAGCGGAAGGCCTCCCCCACCTCATTGGCGTAGCCTGGTGGGGAGGGGATATTTAATTCCTGAGCCTTTGGGTTGTTCCACAAGGGAGCACTGGAGTGAGCTGGTTCTTATCTCATTCTGCTGAGCAGTAGCTGGGTGACCTTAGACAAGTGATTTTACCCCTCTGAGCCTCAGTTTCCCAGCCTATAAAATGGCACTCATGATGCCCACCCCAACTCCCCTCGTGGAAGAGCTGAGCGCAGACACCTTTCTCAACACTCGCCTTCAGAGCCTGGGTTCTAGAAGCATCTGAGCTGATGGGTGAACAGGCAGTGAGAGAGACTAAAGGCAGCCCCACTGACCAGGGGCTCACCATATGCCAGGCCTTTATGTACTTTATCTCATTCTACCCTTACAATAACCACCCAATGAGCGAGACCCTGCGTTCATCCCTTTTTGCTGAGGAGGAAACAGGCTCAGAGCCAGTGAGGAGCCAAGATGGGAGTCCAGATGCCCTGACTCCACAGCCTGTGCCAGGCATGCCAGAGAAGGCGATCCGATCACCCGGTTCCATCCTCCTAGCTGAGCTGCGGCTTCCACCTGGGAGTCTGACCAGCAGAAACCCCGACGGCAGGGCTGGAAATACCAGAGCTGTGTGACCTTGAGCAAGTTCAGAACCCTCTCTGAGCCCAGTCTCTTCCCAGGCTAAATGAGAGCTAATATCCTCCCACCTTCTCCAGGCCCCTGACCGGCGTCTGGCAACCCCTGCTTCCCCAGACACGTGGTGTAGGGGTCGCTGTCCCCCTGCCCCGCGCTCACCCAGGTACCGCACCCACGTGTCCCGGAAAAGGTCGCGCTCGGCCCCCCGCGGAGGCGGCTCGGACATGGCGCTTCCTCCTTGGCCTCAGTCGCTGCAGCGTGTACTACCGCCTCGGCTTCCACCAGCCCTCCCGTTCGCAGCGGCGGGACGGGCCGAGCCGAAGGTCCCCGACTGAAGCACAGATCATGTAGTACCCACCAGCAGGGAGCGTCTGCAAATTCCCCCCGCGCACCGGAGCCCCTCTCCCAGGTTTGAGTTTTACAGCTTAATTTTCTTCACGTTTTCTCTGGAGTCGAGTGGTTGGCGCGATCCTCTTCCAGCACTGGCTGTAGTGTTGGAACCAAAGAGACGGAGGTTCAAATACGGGTTGCTACACTTCTTGGCTCTGTGACCTCAGGCAAGAGCCTGTAACTTCTCTGTGCCTCACTTTATTCATTTGTTAATTGGGGAACAGGACAGGTTCAGTCCTGGGACGGTTTCGAAGATTAATTATACAGTCGTCATTTATTGAGTTTACTACCGGCCAGACCATTGGCTAAAGACTAGATGGATTACTTCTTTAAACCCTCCCACCAGCCTGGGACCCCCCCCCCCCATTTTACCGATGAGTAATAGAGACACAGGAAAAATATTAATAGGTCACTTTCCCAGGACATATAACTGCTGAGTAGTGAGGCCAGCATTTGACTCCAGGCAGTGCAGCTCCAGTTCCCATGCTCCTAAGGTGAGCTGAGTAAATGAGGCTGGGGGAGTGAATGGTGAGAACCCTGGTGATGTGGATGCTTGGACTCTTAGGAGTCCCTACCCCATGCTCATCTATCAAGCACTGAAGTCTAACTGGACCGAGCCTCTTCGGGGCAGGACCAGGAATGAACGAATGAGGCCAGGGAAACGGGGTTGGGGTACAAGACTTCAGGGAAATGAGAACAGAATGAGAGGACGTGGGGTTATTGATTACTAAAGAGGAAACTTCCCCTGCTGCACCTCAGTTTACCCATGTGAGGAATAAGTGCACTTCACTAAAGCTCTGTGAATCCTTTGGGGGTACCAGCGAGCAAAGGCCCAGCCTTTAAAGACAGGCAGTCCTGGGTTCAAATGCTAGTTGTGCCGCCTATGAACTGTCAGCCACGTCTGTAAGAAACAAGAGTAGCCAAAATTTACTGAGCGTACACTTGTACCAGGCTTTCTAAGCGCTCTGAATGTATTATTTCCTTGAATCCTTGCAATAAGGCGATAAACACAGGGCTGTTGCCTGGTACCCAGGAGGCGCTCATTAAAGAATTAGCTTTATTATCATCAAATAAAGGTCACAGCCTCCCTGTTGAGGTCCCTGGTTTCAGCCCTGGGAGTCTTCATCATTGTAGGATCATGTAGGGCAGGCAGGTCAGCTGTGATCTCGCAGGAAGCTGGGATCGCGACTCAGTGATCCTCAACCCCAGAAACACTGGCAGTGCCTGCGCGGAATTAGGAGACGGTCCCTAAAGCCACGTGATCGTCGCTTCTCCGTGACCCTCCCAATCCAGGCCCACCGCAGGCGCCGCGCGCGCTTGCCAGACCCGCACTATTTGGCGCGCTCTGAGAAGCCCGAGTTGGGCGGGGCCTCCGTCCTGACCGTGAAGATGGTCAGGTGCACCCTTAGTGCCCTTAGCAAAAATGGCGGAAGACGGCCCACCGGCTGGGCCAATCAGGGGGCGAGCAGGCCGTCAGGACGCCGTCAGCGCACGGAAGGAGACGAACAGATGGCTTCTGCGCATGCGCTCCGCTTATTGAAGTGGAGAAGCTGGCACCCCGCGGCGGAAGTTTGCGTGTGTGAGTAACTGTGAGGAGCAAGGCGGAGGGCACTGACTTCCACGCCCTGCGCGCTGAATGTTCTTTATTCATTGGTTACTTTTCCTAACAGAGCGCTGTAAACCAAGGTCAGGATATCCTCCTGAGGGGGTCTGGCTGGGACCCATGCGGCCTCTGGCCCTCCTGTCAGTGCCAGCCTTGCCCCTGACTCCTGCTCCCTCAGCTTGGCCAGACCATCTCCCCAGGATGGGTCAGGGCCTGGGTTTCTGAGGGGTGGAAGCTTCAGGACTCACACCCACCGCCAGCCTCCCTGGCCCTTCACGGAGCTGGGATCCCTGGAGGTAACTTCCCTGTGCTTTGTTTGCACTGAAGGACAGTGGCAGGGTACCAAAGCTCACTGTCCCAGGAAGCTCTGAGTCACTGACAATCATTAGTAATTAAAGAGGCAGCCAGTGGGACCCAGGAACTGCTGGATTCCTCGAGGTGAGGGAGAGGGCTGCCTGTCTACCCTTGAAAGGGAAGACCTATGCTGACTTGGGCCCCCTCCCAAGACTTGGGAAAAGCCAAAAGATCCTAGCCTCGGTAGAAAGTTCAGAAGAGCCTCAGACCCCCACCATAACTCTAGCAACCGGCTACCTTGCTATTCCTCATTATGATCTAGACTTACATGTTCATTTGGGATCAAGTTCCTCCCCTGCAGCTGGCTTCCCTGAAGTGTTAGGTCTCAATCTCTCCCCTTTTTCCTAATTTCCTCCCTGCCACCCCATGGTACCCCTCTTCCTGTCTCATCTGCCACCGGACAGGTGAAGTTGGCACAGCTTATAAGACAGATGCTGTCACGGTGCCCAGCCCCTGGGGACTCCTTAGTAATTTGAGAGGCAAGGAGGCCCACTCCAGCTAGTCTCCCTCTTCCTAATTCTGAAATGAAGGCTCCCCAGATCCAGCCGCGAGGTCTTTCTTCTAGCCCAGTTTCTTTGGGCGTCAGAGTGCTGGGAAAATGACTGCTACAAGGGATAGAAACTGACAGGGAGATGCTGAGGGAGCCAGGCCTGCTGTGGGAGGAGGTGTTACTTTGGGGTAACTGCCCCCAGCTGTTTCATCTTCTCTTCTGAGGCTTTGTCTGGAAGCAGGACCTCCACGGTGAAACTGACCTTCTTTGCATGAATGAAGCTGTAGGTGTTGTCAAACCGCAGGACATCTGAGAGGAGGGAAAAAAACAGACATTCAGGCAATTCTGACAAAGAGCTTAGACACAGTGATTTTGGTTGACTGAGCAAGACAGTGTGGTAGGTAATGAGGCTGAAGGTAGCATAAGCAATGGTCCTTCACCTTCTGAAACCTAGTCTAGCTGGGTTACAATATGTTCATGAAGAGAAAAATATATAAGACAGAACATGCCAAGTGCCAGATGAGTGGCAGAGGCAGTCACGTCTGTAACAGCTTGGAACGAGGGGGCCCTGTAGACTGAAATCATGTGAAAGGCTTTTTAAAGGAGTTAGAGCTTGAACTGGGTCTTGAAAGGAGGAAGTAGAATTAGTTGCAGCAGTAGTTGTAATAATAATAATAGTAATGGTAACAACAGCTATTTATGTGACTCAATACTGGTATGGCAGTCTATATATATTATTCACAATAACTCTTGAGTTCAGCATTAGTACTGTGTTATATAAAAAGAAAGTCACTGTGTCACACAGTGAGGAAGGGATGGAGCTGGAATTTCCCTCTGGCCTGCATTGCTGCCTGACTTGGGCCCTAGAAAGCCTAATCCTGTTCAGTTTCTGACAAAAGGTAAAATATGCAAACTTTTTTTTTTTTTAAAGAAGATGTTGGGGGTAGGAGTTTTGTAATTTATTTATTTATTTTTGCTGTGTTGGGTCTTCGTTTCTGTGCGAGGGCTTTCTCTAGTTGTGGCAAGCGGGGGCCACTCTTCATCGCGGTGCGCGGGCCTCTCACTATCGCGGCCTCTCTTGTTGCGGAGCACAGGCTCCAGATGCGCAGGCTCAGTAGTTGTGGCTCATGGGCCTAGTTGCTCCGCGGCATGTGGGATCCTCCCAGACCAGGGCTCGAACCCGTGTCCCCTGCATTAGCAGGCAGATTCTCAACCACTGTGCCACCAGGGAAGCCCAAAATATGCAAACTTTGAACCAGAAACTTATCCCACAGAAAGATAAATGGATGCTCAATGCACCCCTATTTGTAGTAATAAAAGATGAGGAAAACTAAAATGTTCAAAGAAGAATTGCTTTAAAAGTTTTTATTGAAATACTATTCTGTATAAAAAGAAAGAGGTGAGCTTCATAGAAGTGACTGGGGAAACTAGTGACAATACATCCTTAGGCTAAAAAAAGCAAGTTACAGAACAATTTGTAAGCCATTTCTAACATTTTTGTTAATATATGTAAAAAAAATTCTTTTTGGCTTTGTTACTTGGTCTACCTACATTGACAAGTTTTACAATTTCAAAATTCCTTCAAATAGACACTGAATAACATATATAATTCCTATGAATGTATATGGGTGGGCACATGTCCTGTATATTATGGAAACACATAATGCTTCTAAAGGGATGGAAAATATTTGGTAGGATAATACACAAGATCTGTTAGTGGTTTCCTCTGGGGAGAGAAAATCGGCATGCAGTTGGCAGAAAAGGCTTCCAACCTTTGGCCAAGGAACAGACTGCTTTTAATCTAACCCTTCTTTTTTTGAGAAGTTTTTCCATTCCAGTCAAACACCTCTTCCAAAGAACAGAGTGGGAAAACAAAAACACTAGCTCTGCCCCTTCCCTATCCTGGTCTTCTCTAACTTTTCCCAGCCAAAAAAACCCTGTGCATGTAATCCTGAGATTTAACCTTTCCCCTTTTCTGCCCCTGGATTAAATGCGTAGTTTTAGACTGAGGGTAGACACACCACTCACCCTTTTCTTCATGGTGTGAAGTGAGTGACAGTCATTGATTTTCTCTCTGAGCCAGAGGTCTTTCAGGACCAGTGGTGCCTCTGGAAAGAGGGAAGCTTCCTCTCTGACCTGGATGACAGAGCCTTAGCAACCAGAGTCAGTCATGCTAGAGAAGAAGTCTTTGAGCTCCTTGGACCAAGCATCAGGATTGAGATGACTCTGCCTAGCATGATGTTCTGCCCTCAGAAACAAGGGGCTGTTGTGACGCCCAGGCCTGAGGGAAGTGGTTCATTTTGACACTAATCATGTACTCATAGACCTGTAGAGGCCCCAGAGGTCCTCCAGGCTAGGGCTCCTTCACTTTTGCTGGGGAACTGACCCCCCTGAGAATCTGATGAAAGCATACAATTTCAGATCCCATGGAGCCCATCATGGACCCTCTGGGGCAGTGGTTCCCAATGGGAAAGTTACCATTCTGAAGAGAGGAGGAGCTGGGGGTAACTGTGCCCTCTCATTTATGTATTGAGAAAACATATATATTCTTAGTGTCCTTTTATTTATCTTTTATATTCCAGATAGGAGAGTATATTGACTTTTTAATTATGTGTGTAGGTGGTTATAATATCTATGAATTTCATTTCAGAGTAGTAAAGGGGACATTAGACACCACTTATTATAAAAGGGAGGTGTTTGGTCTTTAAAGATTTAGAATCACTGTCTTTAAAGATCTAAATCATTAAAGATTTAGAATCATAGACCCCAGATTAAGATCTGCTCTAGCCTACTCCCCTCATTTTAAGGAAAAAGAGAGCAAAATCTAATTAGAGACACTCAGAGAGTTACTGGCAAAGCTGGACTCAGAAACCGGGTCTTCTGGTGCCTAGAGGGGCTGTTTAACCTTCCTACAGTGCTTCAGCTCTTCTAGACCACATTGCGTGCTCCAGATCTTTTTTTCTGAATCTTTTTCTTTCCTAGAAGAGTACTCTACACTCAGGACCTCAGGAAATATTAGTTGGGAGAAAAAAAAGTGGAATCTCCCAGTCAAGGCCCCACAGGCAGATAAACATTCCATCTGGGAATGTATCCAAGGGGAACTATAATTTGGGATTTGCAAACCTATGCCTGATTATGTTAAAGGGTTCATGGTACTACAGAGAGGTAGTGGGCAGCGCTGGAAAACGGTTTGGGCTCTGCTGAGTTTGGGTAAATTACTTCCCAGGTCTGGGACCCCACCCTCTCCTCTGTCACACGATCATCTCTAGGGTAGTCTATGGTCACGAGATCCTGTACCGGGACTCTAGGATTCTCTCCTGTCTCCGTTTCTTGGTGTCTGTGCAGGCTACGGTGTGGGAGAGATAACATCCCCTCTCTATACCTCAGCTTCCCTGTCCTTTAAAAGAGAAATTCAAGCTTATATGTACAAAATGCTTTATGCTCTGAGGATGACAGTGTCTGGGCTGGTGCTAAGCCTTGTTCTTGATGAAGCACACAGTATACCGCCTTCTCCCTCAGGACCCGGCAGCTCGCTAACAAGAATACTTCTCCTCCCTGGGGAGCCAGACCACAGAGTGTATGTGAGGAGGGGGCGGTGGAGACTGAGGTTGCTTGGGCTGTGGGGGAGGACACAGGATCTGAGGTTGGGGCAATGGTGTGGACAAGTACAGAGGCCAAGACATCTGTGGGGCTAGTTCAGACTTCTGGCAGTGCTGCCATGAAAATAGGGCGCAGGGCTTCTGCCATCTCTGGCACTATCTCCCCAGTGGCCCTTCTCCCCCAGGTTTTGCCCTAATGATAATAATGGTGGCCACAGTGCGCTGAGTGTTGCGTGGCAGGCATTACGCTAACTGCTGCACAGACCTGATCGCATTTCATCATCAGGTGTCCCTATGAGGTAGAGAATTTGATCCCCATTGTAGCAATCAGGAAACTGAAGCTCAGGGAGGCCAAGTCACTTGCCTAAGGACTAGTCAGTGGTCAAGTCCATCTCAGCTTGATGACAAAGCCCTTGCTATCACTGATTTTCCATGCCTGGCCTCTTGGCCCAGACAGAGAGGAAACTGGAGATTTGATGGGGGTTTTGTGTGTGTGTGTATGTGATTTTTCTGCTTATAAATGTAGTACATGTTCTTTGTAACATAAACTGTATTTGCAGGGCCAGTATAAAGAAACGAAAGCCCTCTATAAGCTTCCTGCCACCATTAGCGTTAGCAGAGTCCCCAGAATTCTTTTTTTCTTTTTTTTTTGATAGGTAAGAAGTGAATTTATTTAGAGAAACACACTCCACAGACGGAGTGTGGGCCATCTCAGAAGGTGAAAGCGGCCAACCCCAGAATTCTTTTGACCTTTTTTAGCCGAAGTGAGTATACACCATATATGCTAATTCTCATGCTTTATTGTTTTTTAACATGTATCAGATATCTTATATGTCAGTTTATTCTCTTTAATGTGCATATGATATTCCATTATATGGATGGACCATAATTTATTTAACAAGACCTTCTTAAGGCCATTTAGTTATATTGTCAGTTTCCCAAACTGCTAGGAACACCCATGTACCTATATCTTTGTGTCTTTGTGTAAATATTTCTGTACAATAAATTTCCAAAGGTAGAATTGCTGAGTCAAAGGGAATTTAATTGATATTGCAAAGCTAAGTGAGGTTAAACACCTTTTCAAATGCTTATTTGCCATTCTTATTCCTCTTGGGTAAACTTCCTGTTCATGTTCTGTGGCCATTTTTTGATCAACTTGGAGATGAGTGAAGTTCAGCAGAGTCAAGGCTAGGTTTGTCAGCACTCTGCTCACCCTGTGATCCGTACACCTACATAACGCGTTCTGCCTCTCTGATGTCTGGGGAAGGCGCATCCCCAGGAAATGTCTAATGGCAGTCACAGCCCCAGTTACACCTGGACCAGGTCACCTTGAGCCTGTCATCTCACCTCTCCAGGCCTAGGTTTCCTCACCTATGCAAGAAAGGTTGAAACTGATGGAGCTCCACTTCTAGTTCTAACAGTGTGAGAACTTAAATCCATGGAGAAAGAGGGACCTCCCGGGAAAACAGCTAGAGCAGGGGCTTCGAGCCAAGACAGAGAGACTTACAGATGCCAGGATCGCTGCAGGTGAGGGTCCCATCCTCAGGGACCAGGTGGGCATTGTACCTTTGGTTGGCCAGCACCTCTGTCATCTCCCCTGCCCTCTGCCGCTCCCCCATTTTGGTCTTCAGGAAAATCCCAAAACCGATGTCCGAACCATCCGACATGAACTGCCACCTGCAGGGGACACCACCCACTTAGACATGGTTCCGTCTGCATGTGCCCTCTCTGGGGTCCTACCACCGGGGCTTCTCCCACCCCAGCCCACCGCCAGCACCTACGGCCAGAAGGCTCAGGTCTCCTGCAAGGGTCCAGAACCCTACCTGAGGACGCAGCCTGGAAAGAGAATTTCATACTCCACTTGGTGGGAGGAGCCCCGGGAAATCTGCACACTGTGTTCGTACTGCTGCTTCACCTGGTCTCGCACGTAATACTTCTTGGGGATGTCACCCCCATAGTTGATCTAGAAGCAGAGCACGGAGTGAGCTGGAATGTGCATTTTAGCCAGGCGTCCCTGGTCACCTCCGGCCCCTGGCAGCCCATACCTTGGATTTACACTTGGGGTCTCCATCAGGGTCAGTCATGGTGCCCCCATACTCCACAGGCAGCTGGTCAGGGCTGACATATTTCAGTAAAACCTCCTTCCAGTTTGCTGGCAGGAGAGGGAAGGAAGGAGAAAAAAGGATCACCACCAGGGCAGGATTTCATCACAGCCCTGGCAGTCTACACAAAAGAGGCAGAAAAAACCTGCCTGCCCCTGCACACAAAACATGGGCATTGGGAGCACAGGACGTGCGCACAGCTCTGCAGGGGGTTCAAGAGGAGCTGTCACCCAGATGACTGCCCTGTTCTGGACCAGGAAGTAGGAGACAGAGGTCCTGTCCCCACTGCCTCTGGCCAGCGAAGTGACCTGAGGCAAATAAATCACTTCATTCTGAGCCTAGTTCCTCCTGCCCTGCAAGGTTATGGTAGGAGTGAAGTGAACTAAGTACTTGAGAGGGTGTTTGTTGTAAACTGTAAAATGCCCTACCTGTATGAGAGTGTATTATCACTCCCAGGAAGAGGGGATACAAATATCTGAAGTGCAAGCAGGAGGGAACAAAGAAAGGAGGGGAGGGCATTCCACACAGAGGGAACAGCACATGTGGCAGGCAGGAGGGCAGTCAACATGATCTGCCCTAGTTAGACTGAGCGTGAGGGCATGACCACTGTCACCTAGTGTGCTCACTCGTGATTTATTGAATGAATGCATCACTGTAGAGTGACCCCTTAAATGGGCTCCCTTGGCTTTACCCCAGCCACAGTTTCACTTCTCTTGTTTTGTAGGCTGTTTGGCTACCGGTGATTTGGTTTTTTTTTTTTTTTTTTTTAAATAACCAAGCCCTTTCCTGACTAGGAGAGTTTGCCTCAAGTGCAACCAAGGCTGAGATCCATTTCTCTGCCAAATTCCTAAACAAGTATCAGCCAAGGACAATACTTTGATACTGGATGGAAACCTTTCCATGCTGACGACAGAGACCAGATATAGGGAGCAGCTCCAGGTCACAGGGTACCACCGAGCATCCTCTGTGGCTGGTGCTGCCCGTAAACCCACAGGGATGGTCCAGGGTCTCCCAGCCTTCAGATTTCTACGGACTTGAGGTCATGCAACTCTAGGGGTGCTTTAATCTGTGCTGAGTACCAGTGACCAGCCCAGGGTGAATTTCTCCCCTCCTCTAAGATCCTGTACCTTCCCAGCCCGAGGCGGGTTTGGTTGAAAGGGTTTCAGGTGTGGGTGGGGGAACTGACTGAACCTCCTCTGCAGCCCCGCTGCCAGGAAACCGAACTGGCTCATGCTCATGGTGGGTGGCAACCACAGAAAAGCCAAAAATCATTAGAGCCTTTTCCTCAGACTTTGTGTTTCTTCACCCAGTTCAGCTGGAGGGTTGGAATAAGGCCAGGAGGATTCTTCCCATCTCACAGAGAGGAACTGAGGCTACAAGGACAGAATTTGTTGCACTAGAGCCATGACCAGCACCCAGAAGTCCTGTGCTTTCCAGGCTGCTTTGCACCACACCCAGGCTCAGCACACATTTGGAAAACCTCCACTTTCAATGTGGTGCCTGAAGGTGAACATTCAGAAACCTTCAGAATTCCCTACCCCGAGTTCAACTCCACAGGTGGCATTAAGCAGTCCACGAGCCAGTCCCAATCTCCCTTTCTAGGCTTTTCTCCCACCACCCCACATCACGCTCCAGCCAAACTCGACTCCTGCCTGTCCCTGGCTGGCTTGACAGGTTCCCATGGGTCTTCCTTGCTGGCTTCCCCTCGTCCCCTGATGTTCTCCTGCTGCCCTGCCTATCCAGTGTCCGTCTGCCCGCTTCCCCGCCAACCTCGCAATCGCTTCTTCACTCCCTGGTGGGCTCCTCTTTCTCTTCATGCCCTTGAGCCTGAATATTCCCCAGGCTTCAGCCTCTGTTCTGTGGGCAGTCTTACCTCCTCTCAAGGCTTTAGCTGCTGTCTCTATCTAAAACTCCAAATCTCCAGACTGGAGTTTGCCGCTAAGCTTCAGGCCCAGGCATCCCCAACATATGTACATCTCACAGACTCCTAGAACTCAACTTCAAGCCTTTCCTTCTGACTGTATTATTCCCCAGTGGAACTAACTGCATCAGAATGACTGCAATGCTGTCACTCATGCCAGATACCAGGGAGCCATTCTAGATTTCTCTTCCTCCCTTCCTACATCCAGTCAATTGAGTTCTGCTGTTCCACTTCCTACGGAAGTCTGAAATCCACCCTCTCCTCTCCGTCCCTACAGCCCCCACCCTGGCTCAGGCTTGCAACACCTGGTGCGTGGGCTGTGGCCACGGTATACAAACTGGTATCTGTCCTGAGAATCAGGTCCTGGTACCCCACCCCCTGCCCCGGCTCAGGAACTCCTCTCTGGTGCCCAGTGGCCTGTGGAGTCATGTCCCAGCTTCCCGACACAGTGCCCTGGATTCTCTGTGACCCAGCTCCTGGCACCTGGCTCCCTCTCCACATCATCTCTTGCACACCCTGCCGTGCGCCCTCTTCAGCTGCCCGTGCCATGGTGTGTAAGGTCTTTGCTCATTGTTCTTCTTTCTGCCCAACAGCTTCCTGCCTTGCTTCACCTGGCTACCCTACTCATTCCATAGCTCGCAGCTGAGGTAGGCATCGCCCCTCCCCAGGCTGGGCGGGGTGAGCGCCCCTGCTCAGTGTTCCCATGGGCTTTTCAACTCCTTTTACACGTGACATCTCGCGCTGATATACATCTGTTTGTGTCTCCCTTCTCCGAGAGGTCACAAGCTCTTCAAGGGACTCTGTCTTACCTTTGTGGCCTTGACACCTACCTAGTCTAGGGCCGGGCACACAGCAGGTGCCCATCCAATGAATCCATGCGTACTTGCCCTCAACTGAAAGCAACCTCTGCTCCTGTGACCTCCCTTCTCTGCCGCATCTATGCCTTTTCTTTCTTTCTTTCTTTTTTTTAAAGGAATTTTATTTATTTTTTGGCTGCATTGGGTCTTTCTTACTGCACATGGGCTTTCTCTAGTTGCGGTGAGCAGAGGCTACTCTTCGTTGCAGTGCGCGGGCTTCTCATTGTGGTGGCTTCTCTTGTTGCGGAGCATGGGCTCTAGGCACGCGGGCTTCAGTAGTTGTGGCACGCAGGCTCAGTAGTTGTGGCTCACAGGCTCTAGAGCACAGGCTCAGTAGTTGTGGTGCACGGGCTTAGTTGCTCCATGGCATGTGGGATCTTCCTGGACCAGGCCTCGAACCCATGTCCCCTGCATTGGCAGGTGGATTCTTAACCACTGTGCCACCAGGGAAGTCCATCTATGCCTTTTCTAGTTTGTGTCCTAGCTTTCTCTTAAAGTCTCCTGTTTCACTGCAAGCTTATTGAGGACAAGGACTGGCATTCCATTCATCTTTGAATTTCCCCAGAGTGTCTGAGAGAAAGAGTTCTTAGGAAAACAGACAGGAAGCCCCTTGCTCGGGCCCAGCCTGCTCCTGGGTCCCACTGCTCCCAAACCAGCAGAGGGAGCCTTCGCCCCGGCAGCTCTGGCTGTACCTCTAACGCCATCCGCAGCGGGGCTGCAGCCATGCAGAGGAGTGGAGGAGAGTCTGGGCTACTCACCCCCCAGGACCATGATCTTCTTACGAGTGTCCTCACTCAGGAAGGGTTTGATGAGGTTATAGGCCACAGGAAACAGCTTGGGGGCTGGAACAGAGACCAGGCCATGTGAAGCCAGGAGCAGTCCCCACTCTGTCCCTAACAGTGTCCACCATAGCCCCCAGTGTCTGGCCATGCACTCCCTGGTGCTGTGGGGCCCGCACAGGCAGCCCTATGTGAGGCTCGGCTTTCCTGTCTGTACAGGGGGGATGGTCTTCCTTTCTCATGGGGCTGGGTGGCTCGAAGGAGGTAACGAATACTAAAAGCTTTGTGAATTATAAAGTGGTCTGCGTACATCACGGGTCGGTCTTCTGAACAGGTCCTAAGACCCCACCCTCCACCCCCGACTTTGGCTCACTCTATTTCACTCTCCTTAATCTATCCCAGTAATATTTTTGGCCCCTCTTTCCCATTGGGCTTCATCACAGGTAGTTGCCAACTTACCTTTAATAACAAAAAGACGCTTCAGTGTTTCGGGGTAATTTTCCTCAAACATGCAGAGAAACTGTGGAAAGAATCCAGTGGGCTCAGAACTCTATGCCAGGGAGGGAGGCCCTTCTTCCTCTGGCTTCCCCCACCCCACAGGGCCTCCTAGCAGAGGGACCCACCCTCCCAACCCACCCCACGACCCTCACCTCTCACCCTCCACCACCCCTGAGCCCTGGCCTTCACCTCTCCATAGGCCTCCACAGCTGGCTTCCAGAGATGTTTGAGACCAAGCCCCTCACAGTCATAAATCAGGGTGATGGTCTCTATCTTGTTCCCCGTCTGCAGGGGACAGAGGAACAGAAAGTCACATCAGGCTGCCCCCCACACAACACACACACAGAAGCCCACCCCGGTTCAGGGAAAGTGCTGATTGTACCCTGCACCCATACTGCAACCAGATCCGGCAGGGCCGTACCTAGGGTTTTCCAAATCGAGATAATTACCCCAGGCCGGAATTGTGGCCTAGACAAGTCACCCTTCCCATTTAGATCTCCGTGTTCTCATCCAGTAAACAACTGGGGTGAACTTAGATTACATCTGAAGTCGCTTCTGTTCTGCAGTTTGACCCAGTGGCCCCCCTCATCCTCTGCACCCCGTGAAGCCACTCATCTCGCAGGCACAGATGCTCTCTGTCCAACCTAAGCCCTTAAGGTGCATCTCTAACGCTTCTCTGCATGCCCAGCCCCACAGGGCCTCTGCGCACACTAGGTTCTCAGTGAATGTGGATGACACTGTTGAAATGTCCCCAAACGTATCACATGGTCTCACTGGATCTTTACAACTGCTGAGGAGGAGGGCAGGGGAAAGGACCATGGCAGCTCCACCTCGCTCTTCAGTCTTTTTCCAGTAAGAGAATCAGCTGTCCTTAGCTTTGTCTGAATTCAGAGTTAGGGAAGCACAGAATCTGAGCTCACTGACACCAGCGGCACCCAAATACTTGTCCAAGGATAGGGTGGTTCCTGACAAGGATTCCTCTGGTGCCCAGATAACAGAAGAAAAGTAATGATAACGTAGCATGTTTTCTATGAAGCTAAACTTTACTAAATTAAAGGACGGCCCTTTATTCTGAGACAATGCCATCCCTACAGTTTGGTGGGTTAATTATGGCAATAATAGCTGGTTAGTGTTTTCTAAGTCCTTACTTGGAAAAATAAAAATTCGGTAACATAGATCAGTCCCTAAAACTTCGCAATTTCACTGGTCTATGAAATCTAAACATCAGGGCCTAAAGCTGCCCTTAAAGCCACGTGTGACACCCACAGTTCTGCGTGACCACCTCCACCAGGCATAGCTCCTCTTCAGACGTGCTGCTCCCCTCACCTTTTCGGTCTGGCAGGTGCACTCCCGCAGAAGCAGCTCGCAGTCCCGCATCTTGGTCTTGACCAAGTCCTGTTTGGTGGCTGAGAGGAGCAGACCCTTGGCATCCAGAGGTCCAATGATGTCGTACCAGATGGGGCAGCCATCCAGGTCGTAGCCACACATGCCCCCTGAGAGATACTGTTGGACCACCTGGGCCCAGACAGAGATGGGGGCGCCTGGTCAGCAGGCCCCGGGCAGCCACACCTTCCCGGTGTGCAGGGCCTTCCTCTGGGTTCATCCGCCCCTGGGTGCCAATGGATACTCATTCAGTGACTTGGCATTGTCAGACCTTTCCTCTGAGGGTCCCAGTCCCCCAGGATACAGATCATGGGTCTAACAGACATCACGTGGTGTGGGGCGGGATAATCTGTTCTCACCTCTGGAGGCTGCCAGCTCATGATGTTGTCAATGTCCTTTTGCTTTCGGACCTCCACATGCTGCAAACACACGAGGGCTTTAAAAAAGCAGGGCGGGGAGGGGGTGGTCCTTAACAGGCATCTAGCAATGGGTGACAGCACGAACAGACCACCGGACCACAGGTAAGTCACGAGAAGGCAACCAGCAGGAA